CCCCCCCCCCCCCCCCCCCTAAATCCGCGCCTGCCATGCAGTCTGGGTAATGTCAGTCGACGGGGTCATGCAGGAGACGAGAGTTTGCCACCAAAATGACTTCGCTCGCGTTGTGTAATTTTGGATATTGCCGTACAAACTGTACAAGTCCTGGAACATAAAACCAGTGGTCAACTCTTTATCCCACCTTCCGGTTCTTTTCTCCTGATTAGTCGAAGTGTTATGGAAGACCCAAAACAACACCAGAGTTCAAGTTCTACGAGTTTATTATAAGGTCAGTGCAGCAAATTCGCCATGCACCCAAATTCGCCACCCTGTGACGAAAATGCCATATGACGTCATAATACATAAGATGTGACGTAAATAACGGCGCCAAAGTCTTCAGCACAATTAAAGCCTTCACAAATTTTGACAGGAAGAGGTATAAGAAGGGAAAAGTTATTTTTTTAATCAAAACAATTATGAAATATCTTGTAACACAACGAATCTTATTTTTTTTTGTCTGTGCGACGGATATCTCGTCAACTAAACTCATTAATCTAACGCCTGTTGGTTGTCACGGTTATTTAGTAAGAAAGTAAGATCCTGGCTTACCCCTTGGTCCGGAGGGGCAGGGCCCATTGGAATATTGGCTAACATTTTAAAAGTCTTCTTCTCTGGACTCAGATTTACTAGAATCCAACACTAGTACTTTTGATGGAAATGAAAATGTACATACATGCTTTATCTAAATTGTAAAGTTTTTACCCAAGGGTCATCTGTTGACCCTTTGGAAACGGGTAGATTTTATAGATTATGTATGATAGGTAAAAACACTTTGGGTACATTTTGTCCAATTTCTAACATGTAATATTATTAGCTTTCTGGTACTGTAAAATGACAGTTAAAGTCCATTTGAAAATATTCATACATTGTAATTTATTCCTATCTAATATAGCATTATTAAACCCTGGACTTAAATTAATTCTGTGATTTTACCTTTTAAAATTTACAATTAGATATAGATCTTACATGTTATATTATTATTTTTCTTGTATTGTACAATGACAGTTAAAATTCATTTTAAAATATTCATACATTGTTATCAATTCCCCCCTAAAATATATTAACTTTACCTGTCACAACAAGACACTAATTTGTAATATATAATATTTTATTATTGCAAACTTTCAGATAAAGCTTTTAAACACCCTTTTTGTTCTGGGACAGGTGTTAACGAAATGTTCAAATACACGCTGGTATGCTATTTCAAGCACATTTAAACATTACAATTTAATATAATGAATTCTGCAATTTTCTGCAAACTTAGGCAGGTGTGAAGATTTGATTGTATCTAAAGTTTAATTATATCTCAACATGTTGCTCCACGTAATTCTGGTTCAGCATTGAGTGACAATTAAACAATTGTATCTTTTGCAAATGATTTGTCAACATTTCATTCTCATAGTTTGATAAATTTCATGTGTTTATAATATTTGTGTATATGCTGTCAACCTTTTTTTTTTTTTTTAGCTCACATGGCCCGTATGGGCAGAGGGGTGGGGCCGAACAGGGGAAATAGAGGAAACATATTTTTTTTTTTTTTTTTTTAATTTTTTTTTTTGAAACATTTTCAGCATTACAGAATAATTACAATTATTAATTTTCAC